AGGGTTCTATTTCTTGGTACACTACACATCAATTCCTTTGACAGCATCTACAGAAAATGTTCTTAGAAAATGTTTTTATGAAATACTTTTAATACTTAGTAATGCTAATATTTAAAAATACTTCACAGTGTGGTACTAATGTAACTTCATAAAACGAGCAACTTGAGTTAGCTAAAGCTCAAAGCCTTACATTATATTAAAATAGTCCAAAGATTTCACAAACACAAAATCACTACCACTACAAATATACCTAAGCCACTTTAGTGCAAAGTCTGTTTTTGCTTCCCCTGACAAATCCCTCTATATTCCTGCCAGGATATTAAAATGTCATCCTTTACTAATCTAATTATTGATTTTCAAGGATTCATTTACAGCTGAAATCCCAGAAGAACTCTTCTCAATTTACCATAAAAGTAATGACTCGGTTTATTAAGCATTTGATTGCTTGTGTCACGTGATCTTTGTAGCATTTAAGAATGACTCGCATACGCACAGCAAGATTTGAGTTCATCTTTACAAGGAGTTACTTGAATTGAATTAACTTTTTAATTAAAGGATGTCCAGTAATGACCAGCGGAGAGAGGCCAAAGCTCCGAATTACAGAATTGCTATCCTCAGCTTACAAATTCATAAAAAGAAAGAAGTCGGAACACGAAGTTCGGACTCCTTTCCCTCCTCCCCAACACCTCAGGGCGCCCTCGGGCCGGATCTCAGGCGCCGTCTGGCGCAGCGTCGCGCTCCTCTGCACGAGCCGCGACTGCCGACTCAAAACGGGTGCGTCTAGCTAAACCCCAATTCTAAATACAACCTAACACAACGTGCGTCCGCTCTGCCTTTCTAAAAACTTCTTGGCAAACAAAGCGACTGGTTCTGAACCTGTGTGCCGGTGGTGCCGGTGCCGCAGTGACGGAGCCTCCTGGTGCCTCCCCAGAGCACCTCCCCAGCACCTCCCTCGACCAGGTCGGTGATCGCACCTTCAGCACAAAACAAAGGTGACTTTAACAACTTCTCTTTCTCAATTTAGCCACCAATTCACTAGCTAGAGAATCAGATTTGCCCGGACAGACTGCTGAAGTACAGCAGAGACTGTAAATAAACCTTATCAGGATACAGGAGCAAAACTTACGTTAACATTTTCATTAACTGCTAAAGCTCAAGAGGTGCGAATGTGATACAGCTGAAATCCACAAACATTTCCATTGGCAGCCACCACTAAATGCAAGTAGAGCAGACACAGCGCGGCTTGTTTTAAACTCTGCAATGGGAACAAAACCTGAAAGGTGACAGAAGTCAACACTGAGTGGAGAATCATCAGCAAAGCTGCCTACACAAGCAAAACATTTCACCTGTCTAGAAAGTAAACCAAAAAGCTGACTAAAACTATATCACAACAGAATACTTCCCTACTGCTAGAACATCTCAGATGGTCAACCTTGACACAGGTGGTGTCATCCCACTTCACCTGAACTGAAACGGAGGGGCTGGATCGGCACTCCGGGTCTGAAGGGAATCCATTTGCTGCGGATGCGGGAGCCCTGAGGCTCAGACAAGCCAGTGAAGCAAAGCAAAAGCAAGAAGGTTAAATGCCATCTTTAAAAAAAATATATTGTAAAGAACACGAACCAAATTCAATACTCTATTGTTTTGACAGAGCTGCCATTGACATCCTACCACCAGCGCAGGCACTGCTGTCCAGCAGTTTCCTTTGTTTGTGCCTGCTGGTCACAACTTTCAGTTTCTGTCTCTAAATGCAACTGCCTCTGGTTTTCCACATACTAAATTTTAATTCTGAGGAGGTATCCTCTTCCAAAAACATTTCACACTGATAGTTTTGGCATTAAATGGTCCACTTATCTGCAGTAAACGTCTTTCAAAGTGCCACCTCTGCAATGCACAGACAAGAAGGGAAATAACAGCTGGGAAGCTGTAAGATGTTGGCCTCAGTCTCCTCTAGTGCAAAACGGGTTGTTTCATGATGGGGGATTCTCCCACCATCCTAAAGAAGGGGCTGTTTGCTGTGCTGGACACAGTTTGTAAGGCCAGCACTCTGACCAGCCGCAGCTTATCCCAAGGTCTAACCTGACCACGGAAAGGATGTGTCACTGCACGCTGCAAAGTCACAGAAGGGAATAAAAAGGTTTCTGAACCAAACACGGGCGGACAGGCAAATGTTTCAGCAAGTGCTTCAACTATCCAGAATCAAAAATGTGGTAAAACAGTGACAAAAGCCCTTTAAAATCCTCCACCTCTTCTTACTAAATTAAAAACACCTATAACAGATGAATCAAGTAATTACATGGCCCTTTTGTCTATAAAATCTCAAGGTAGACTCCTATGCTCAGACATCAGCTCCTGTTTAAAGCACCGACCTGAATGAGGTGTAGAAGTTCCGTCAACTTCAAACACTGACGCGGAGTAAGATCAGAGTGAAATGTTGCAAACTTCCTGACTCACAGAGGTTCGGTAAACCTGTTATCATCACAGTAGTGGGTAATTCCACAGTAAGTGTCAAAAAATCTGCTTATTAGATTTGCACACCGCATGTCTCCACCTCACCCGGCACACAGGCCTTTGCAGAACAGACAAACTGCTGAATGTAGGACTTCTTCCACGTCAAACCTACAGGAGCAGGAAAGGAACAATGCCATGGGGATGCAGTTCAAGAACGGAATTGGGAAATTCTCATTCGAGCCTGCTCTAAGAAAGACTCCTGGCGCAACCTCGTGCTCCTCTTGCAGTTCTCTGTGCCTTGGTACTTCGCACCACTTCTTGTCAAAGATTTGTGACAAATATTCAAGACTGCCCCTTGGCACTCTGACACCGAGCCATGCGAGAATTCCAACTAGAGAGACAAATTTCTGAGAGATAAGAAGCATGAAAACAAGCACAAACCCCTTAACAGCAAATAAAGACTATAGGAATTAGTAGCATTTAATTTAAAAAAAAAAATCTAACAGTAGATAACAGCAAAACTTTCGTTTCATACAAAAGATATTTGCTGAGTTAAAAAATACTGTCATTTGATTGGAGATTATAAAAAAAATATTTCAAAGATTTTTTCCCAGTCTACTTCGAAAATGACAATATAATCACAACTTAAACATCCAGTAAACTTAAAAAAAAAAATAAATTTTAAAAATCGAGTTCTAGATGAAGTAAATCATCACCTTCAGAGAAGTTGTGCGTATAGAAATCCTTCCCATGCTACTACAAAACAATGCCACCAAACTACATCCTGCAAACTGAACCTTCTAGCAGCCTAATTTGAAAGTGAGGCAGATAACCCTAATTAAAAAAAAAAAGAAAAATTATCACCTGGGATGAGACTTCAAAATTAGTTCATTTAATCCTATCACAACACACAATTTTTATGAAGACGTAATTTGATTTCTGTGCTCTCCTCGGTGTGGCATTTATCTGTGCAACGCTCCCGAGACCAATCTCAAAAGCACGAGGCACGCCCGGGCACAAACCCAGCCAAGGAAGGATTAGTTTCACGCGCACCGTGATGGAAGTGATCCAGCTGGGAAGTTTCATAGCACAGGTTGCGATGAGAAGGACCACTGTGCCTCGCGTTAACTATACGACAAAGGATGTTAAATCAGCTGTGGAGCAAACAAGGTAATGTATTTAGAGTAAGATTCACCCCCACGCAATTTCACTGAAGACAACAGACTGAAATGTTATGACTATTTAAAACCTCTAATCACATACAAACCTAAAACAACATTAAGTTAACTTAGGAAAAAAAGTAATTTAATTGTTTTTACAATCAATAAGTTAACACAGAAAAAAACCAGAAGTATTTGACGCTAAAACTAAACTACTGAGGCAACATTTCAAAGTGTCTGTACAAACACTGGAGGAAACTTGAACGCATCAGTTGGCTGCGACTCCTCTCCATCCACATTTGTTTGGAGACTTCCAGACTCTGATTTTCATCTCTCATGGAAATCATCTGAGCTGATGAAGACTTTGAGATGAGTAAGGCAACTGAACAAAAGCCTGGCTGTTGGGAATGTGGTAACTGCAAAGTGACAACAGCTGCAAGCACGCATCTGCATCTGCAGCACCCACCACACTTGAAGTACAATTCCAGGCTTATAGCTGAAGTAGCAACTGCTTCATCTCAAGTTAAATCTCTATACACGATTTAGAGCCCTTAGCACTTTTTAAAACTTCCTCGATTTCAAAAAACTAGCATACCGTGCTCCTATTTAAAACCTCTATTCATGCCATGGGTTAAAACAAAACCAAACAAAACCAAGAAGCAACAATCTTTGCTCTCCGGCTTCCACTTACACTTGAAACTGACATTTTTCTGGTTTTAGGCCCTGACATTCTTTCCTTCTATTAAACTTAATCAAGTGATTTCAATGATAGATTGCATCACTTTAAAGACTTGGAAATGTTACAATAAAGTGAAGAGTCAGAGAAAAACTATTGGGAGTTTACCTGAGAGGCTGTTCCAAAAATACCACACACACACACTTGGATATTAGTGACTAAAGCCCTTAAACTGTTCCGCAAAGCCCACCTTTGCCATAATAGCTACAAAACCCTCGAGAAAATTAGCCAGCTGATGTGCTGTGAGCTTATTAAACCATTTATAAATGACTCACTACACCCTTACGCTCTGCTCGCCCCACAGCTGGCTGTCTGTAACCAAAATTCAGACTGCAAGAGCTCTGCAGAACAAATCACCTCCGTGGTGTCTGTGCGAGGGTCCCAGCGTAAGCCCTGGCTCTAGACAACGTCTTCTTACAAAAGGTAACAAGAAACATCATTGTGAAGTCATCAGAGTTTAGAGAAACTTTGCTCTTAAAATTTCAGATGAAATAAGGAGGAAGTTTATCTTGAGAGGTTTGGACTGCAGATGAAATACACTGACAGCAAGCCAAGCTAGGACTTAACCGCGCTTTGTAACAGGGCTCTCGCTCCAAAACCAGGCAGCAACAGCAGAGGGTTCTGTCCCACCTTCTCCAGGAACAGGTACACACCCAGGCCCGCAAGGGGAACTCACGCCTACTGGCAGCGAGTGCTGTCGAGGATGACCCACACCAGGAGCGCTTCATCCTGCTGTTCTCGCTTTCCTTCGCTGCTTCCTCCCTGGCAGCCGCACAGGACCCTACCGGAGTAAACGTGGGTGGGAGCAAGCAGGACGGTCTGCAGCGATCCGGGTGTCACACAGACACTAACTGTCACCCCTCCAGGGCAAAGCATGGAGGAGGAGAGGCCAGGGCTCCCAGCAGACCAGAGAGGAGGGTCCGTGTATCTTGCGGGAGGGACAGGGCAGAGCACTATAAAGAGCACGATCCTAACTACAGCAACAGTAGACCTGAACCCTTTTAATAAAGAGTCTCCCCTGTGGCCAAGAGAATTAGCCCCATTCTCAAAAAAATCAAATTGTTTTTCCCTAGTATTTCATCGTTCCCACTAACAGTCCACAGCAACCGTAACGCACGAGCTCGCCGCAGCCCGGCGCGCTGACGGGCAGCACAGCGAAGGAAGGGAACCGCGGACGGGCCCGGGGCGGGACCTGCGCTCAGACCAGAGCTGTGGCAGGGGAACATCTCACCCTGTCCCTGCCCCAGGAACACGATGATGCAGACTGTGATCCATTGTCACTGGAATATTTGGATCGCTTTCACTTTCCAATATGGCATCAGTAAAAAGACAAGTATACTCTTCAGGAGAAAATAATCAATTTGAGGGCCATACTGCCTTCTGAACAGCATTACAGTACACAAAAACACTTAATGTGAGCTTGAAAAAGGTGTGGTCCATGGGATTTTGTTTCTCAGATGATGATTCTGCTTGACCAGTCAGATACGCGTTTGCCAACAGGATTTAGCTCCTGCTATATTCAAACCATCTTTAATCCCACGAAGGCTAAAGAAAAATGTCTCTGATTTAGCTCTGTGCACTTATGAATAACTCAAATACTACAGTTAAATTTACAACATAGTTCCCTTAGCTGTTTAGAAGACAATTGTTTTCTTTCCTTTCCCCTTAAGTTCTAGTATGTAAAATATCAGAAGAATTTAGATTTAAAAAAAAAAAAAGACATGTTATTTTTAAAGTTGTTCTTGAGAAAATTTCCACATACAAACCCGTGGCATTTCTCCACTGGTTTGAGAATAATTTTCACATGTTGGCATCATCCTCGGGTGGCTGCCACAACTCTGGTATCATAAAGCGACATATATTTTCTCTTAGCTTATCAAAACACATTTTATTTAATGGCTAAATTTGGTCTGATCCATGTTTTTCTTCTTACTTCGCAACAAAGAGGAAAGCGCAGATGCCATACTCGGATCGCACACATACATCCTACCAGAGAAACGGGGCACGGAAGCCAGACCAGTCCTAAGCGTACGACTGCTCAGATCCCATCGCCGCACTCACGGCTCAGCAAGACTCTAAGTTCACACTAAAATGTTCACATTGTTCTCTCCTGTTCTAGAAGTCCTGGCTAGGTAGCACTGAAAAACAAATTGTTTGGCCCCTTCTGTTACGACGCTGGAACACTGTGTCAATATACTTTGGCATATATTAAAAATCCCTGTAATACACCATATACTGTGATATTTCCACTTCAGATCTATCATTTACATGTGAAGCACGAATCTCCAAAGAACCCAGTAAAGCTGTAAGAAAGACTACATTTTGCCGAAGCTCTCAGACACCCACTCCATTCAGTCACACCAGCTGGAGAGGTAAGTGTCAAGATACAGCTTTATTCTTAAAAACGAACATGGAGGTGAAACTCCACAGCCTCCTCCACAGCAATATTTTTTTTTTAAAGTGAAATCACAATGATATGTGCTCCTGATTCTTCCACGTCAGCAGCATTTTTCAGAAACCTTTTTGCAAATCTGGACATCTTAAAATTGTATTTAACTTATTTTGCCATTTATGGAATTGTCCCTGCACTTCCCAGTCCCGCAGACAGGTGTCTTAGACATGACATCCATTGGAAGATCTTTTGCTCCTAGAGGTAGAGGAGTCCTTAGCTACCCTCTGTCTAGCGCAAGAGGCACAAATAGCCCCCGAGAGACGCTTAAGCCCCTTTTGAAAGACACTGTTGGAGAGACTGTAAATGACACAGTTGCAGAAACTGTTGCTAATGGCAAGCCAAGTGGTCAAGAAGGATGCAACGCGGTTACTATAGACGTTGGAGCTCTCCAGCAGAAAATAGATTATGTAGGGCAACCAGAGGATGTAGAAGACGCTGGTGATGCGGAAAAGAACCATGGCGTAGCGCTTGTCCGGGCAGGGCTGCGCCTCCCCAGCCTCCCCGTCCTGAGAGCTGAAGCGCACTCGCCTTTCGTTGATCTCCTTGGTGTGCTGCTGGCAGATGCGGAAGATGTTGAAGTAAGTGAAGCAGACGATGAAAGCAGCCGGGGCATAGAGCATCACCACAATGAAGAGGGTAAAATAGGGATCGGTGTTCCAGGAATTTGCGCACCACTGGAACACGTCCCCGTGATATCCAGGCTTTCCCCAGTGAAAGGAGGGCAAGAACACCAGGCAGGAGTAGAGCCAAATGATCAGGATGCAGATTCGAAGTCTCCACGGGGTCACGAGCGTGTTGTAGGTCAGCGGCTTCGTGATGGCAATGTATCTGTCAATGCTGATGCATGCCAAAGAGGCCATGGAGACGCTATTCAGCACCGACACCACGTAACCAAAGATTTGGCAAACCAAGGACTCAGTTAAAACAATAGGGTAGTGCAGCAGGGACAAAGAAGGCACCAGACAGCTCACGCCCACCAGGAGGTCAGCATACGCCATAGTCTGGATGAAGTAGCTG